GTGCTATTCTTTTCTTTCCTTTCTCTCAGAAAACCCACCAAAAACTGGTAGGAAAAGAAGAATTTATTTGTTTACTGAAAGTTACTGCAGCCAAATCAAGGTTCTTTCCCCACAGTCAGGTCACAACAAGCAAGGGAAACTGCCCTGGAGTGGTCAGGAAATTTCTGACCCAGTTATTGCAACCTTCTCTACCACCTGCCCATCACCCAAACAACCCTCTGCCCAAAGGGTCTAGATTTAAACCCTCTGGAGTTTCTCAAAGCTCTTCGCCCAACTGTGGTGCTGCTATGGTGCTGCTCTCATATCCTCAGGACAGCAAGAAAGTGTTTCTCATCGTGTGGTTCTGGAGGTGGTGTCTCATATGACTCCGGGCTAGTCTGAAGATACATGTTGTTCTATCAGTTCAGAACCTGCTAATGGCCTGCTGAATGAAGAACACACAAACTCTTTCTGCTTCAAGGGTGGCAACAGTTCCTTGGCAAACCTGAAGCTAACAAACCTGCTCAAGAAGCTGCGTACACTGAACGGTGTTTAGAAGTGGCCGTTGTTAGGATGTGTTTCACAAACAGCTTCAGCCTCTAACAATATAATGCTCCTGAAAAGGTCGTCACTTGCATCACTGATGGCCCAGCTCGCAGCTGTATATACAGATCAGCCTGTAAATACAGACAAAATTCATCTTTTAAGGGCATGGGCAGGATGACACACCTGTAGCACAAAGGTAAGAGCTGGACTGTCCCTGCCAACACCAGCAGTCTTAGATCAGTGTAACCCTAAGAAAGAAGATGCCAGGTCTAACCATCACCGGGCAGCAGAACTGGGATCCTGCTGCTGACACTGTTCTCAGCGCTGGAAAAAGCCAAATCTTACGCTGACAGCTGCTTCCTTCCAGTTCAACTCCCTGTTCATTATCAAAGGTGGAGTTAATTAAATCTCTCCTAAAAAGCTGTTCAGACAACTGCACTAATTATTTCAGGCTAGGATGTATGATAATTTATGTAATTCTGTGGGCCCACAGAGCTGCTGCAACATTTGCAAGATCATTTCTAGCACTGGTTTTCCACAAAAACCTGATCCATCACACCAGGCAGGCACAATTTAGATTAATGAAGCAGAAGAGGTGGACTGCAGTCCTGCTGCATGAAAACTTAATTTGCACATCTGTGACCACTGGGTGTACGGGGATGAGAAAATAAGAGTGCATGAGAATTCACAATGCGAGAGTTTGCAAGATACTGATTTCTGCAGAAATTGACTTCTGTCTCTAGCTTAAATGGAAACCAGACCTGAAGAGAAGCTTTGAGAGTGGAAGTAAACGGCTGATTGCATCCAGAAGGAGTCTTTATATGGTATGACGTGACGCAGGAAAATGACAGGAGAAAAGAAAAGACTGGTCTGAAATCGATTCCCAAACAAAACTCTCTTAACATCTGAGAAAGCTACCCTTTCACGTCACTGCAGTTGGTCACCTTGCACGCTGGAAGAGTCAAAAGCAATGGGACCCAGGACTTCACCAAAGAGCCTGCATTCCTCCGTATCCCCGTGGTGAAGAGATAAGCCAAAAAGACTTGGTTATCTATCCCTCCCTTTCTCAAAGCACATCCCATGAAGGAAACATATGATTTGTTCCTTTGTTCCTGAAGGCAAAATGATGAGACTTGACCTTGCTGGTTCCTAGCACAGCCATTTATCTCTTTTCCACAAGTTCTGGAAGTACCTACAAGCACAATGCTCTATAGGCACCTCACTGGTGTATTAAGGGAGACCTAGTGGTAGGAAAGAATGCCTATATCTACAATGCCAGTGGTAAGAGTGAGGTAGCTCACCTAGTTTCTCAATCATCATCACTTAATATTTGTTGGTTGGTCAAGAAATTAGTAACCAGTAAAAGGCTGGTCAATGCAGAGGAAGATATTTTTTTGAAGGGACACGGGTATTTTGCTATAAAAAGAAATCTTTCATTACAGTTACAAAACACTTGCTTCTTCTCAAAGCTCAACACTTCTTAATGTAAAGTAGGTGACTCTATTTAAAATAGTAATTCTCATTTCATTTGAGCAGGTATTCACAGAAAGCACAGTCTTCAGTTTGCAATGAGAACATTTATCATATTCTCTTCTCCCTCTTGTTGTGACAAGCACAGCCCACACACATTTTGCAGACTCATTTGTCTCCATAATAGTCTCTTCCTCAAGAGTTACAAGTCACTGCTGGGGATTCACTGCTGTGCTGACAGCGCTGCGGTGCTACTGCTGCTACAACTGCTCAGGTACCACAAAGATCACAAAGGACTTGGTTGCTCCTGTGTTCTGGTCTGAACGTCATCTTTTTCCCATCTTCCCTTTGAAAGAAGAAGGTTCTGCCTTCCTCTGCCTTAGGCAGTGCTCTCCTATCTCTGCCCATGATTCACTGGGAAGTACATTTTCCAGGAAGTCAAAAACTTGTTGGATCTACCACATGCATGTGAGCAGACCATGAGGTATATGCAAATGTACGCTGCATAAGTCAAGAGCTACCACATCTGCATTATTCAGCTAATCCACCTGTTTGCAATGAACATGTCTAGGTTTCTGGACCTACATGACCTGCTCATCATAGCTCTGGGCAGTCTTAGATCTCGACAAAATGTGCCCAGGCAAATTTTCTGTATGGTATAACAGACCAAGATGTCTGCCAGTTCTCCTCTAGTACCTTACACAGCTGTAGCCCACTAAAGGAATGGGTCGTCACAGCTCCCACTTTGATCTGAGGGCTGCAGAGAGATTTCTTCAATCCCCTTTGGGAGGCGAGAGGGATTGTTGACATCTACAGGGCAAAGGCAACACTTATTCTTAGGCCTCAAAATATGCTCAAGCCCCCACGCTAGAGAGATTGCAAGGTTCAACTTTTTTTTTCGACATTTCTTTTCACCACAAAGGGTCACTGTATGGAAAAGAGACTGTGGCACTGCCCTACATATTACAGATGTAATACTACATATTACAGATGTAATACCAGTCTGGTGGTAAGGGAAGGTGGGAGATGACTCAAACGTTGCCTCTACATTAGACCTGACAGTTCTGCTAAGGCTTCCAGCTAAACAGAAAGCAAAGTGCACTGTTCATTACCACTTCAGAAAGTTCAGCTACAGGATTTCAGGTGACTTCAGTGAATTTACATACAGGAGAGGTGAAACATTCTACTAGGTTAAAAGGAGCTCTTCCCCCCTTTAACAGCTTCTCTTTTACCCCCAGCAGCCTTGCAATTCAGTCCACCAGCTCCCTATGGTGTGCAGATAACACTGTGAACTAGGTTTATCAGGGGGATTTCAGAGGGTGTTAGGCACCTGAACAGGTCAACAGGTTCTGACCTGTCTGCCTATAGCCCTTGCACAGCCAGGATTTGCCTCTGGATCCCCCTAGCAACTTTCCCATCGGACTGTTGGCATGATTTTCTGCTTTGTTATTTATGTGTATTCATTTCCAGTGAAATCTTGATGACTTGTCAACTACTGAAAGCACTGGGACAATTCAAGAATAAACGAAAACTACTGGAATTTAAAAGAAATGTAATCTTTTCCCATGGGTTTCCATTACCATCTGTATGTGCTGCTAACACTGATGACCCCATACTGATCTAAAAGCATGGTCTATTGGTCTCAGAGCAGACTTCAGAGACCTTTCTCTGCCACAGAGGAAGAGAAAACATATAATCCAAAGGATATTAACATGACAGATGAAGAAGCTCTCTCCGCTACTGGATAATAATGCAAGGACTGCATTGAAACAGGCGCTTCTAGCTGTATGAACAATCTGGATCAAGCACTATACGCTGAGATTGCTAGCAGAGGAGAAAGCAAACATGAAAATATTGCAAGCACATACGTGTTTGCTCCCAATATACCACAGCACTAAATCAGGTCATGTCCTGCCTCATCAGCTTCTATAAACATTAGGTGGGCTGTCAGGATGTAATGTGAGATGGCACCCAACCCAATTTAACCTCTGTTTAAATTAAGTTAGGTATTACTGCTAAGATAGCTAGCACTTTTGCATGTGTAGAAAGCAATAGCTGCAAAACTTCCTGCTTCAGATGTTTGAAACCACACACAGAGTCTCCCTCCTGGGTTTAGTACCTACTGCGGAAATCATACATCCTAACAGGAGCTGGCTGGCAAGAATTAGCACTGGAAGCAGGCTGGCCTCATCATTCAGATGCCAGTCTGAGATACAGAAGGCATGAATTTGACTCTTCACTGCAGTACAGATTCCCTGTTGATGCTGGTCTCTCTGGGCATTGGCTCCTTGCTTGATCTCTTGAGCATTATCAGTGCAGTGATAATGCTCATAACTAGCCTTCTGGGAGAGATGTCACGAATAAAACACATTAAGTGATGATATGTTCCAGCACTACACTATCAAGGGGGCAGGTAAGAGTAAGAGCAAGTACATTATTCCTTCCTGTAACTGTGAGCTCCGGCCCTCCTTTCCATTAGATTAAAAATTAAATGCAGGGTGATTAATCAGAGTCCTTTAAAGCTGTGCACAGGATTCCTCCTGAAAGTGGGCACAGAGGTCTGTGAGCCACCAGCAGAAATTCATTCCTCTTGTGGCAAGAGCCCCTGATTTCAGCTCACTGAAGCTGAATTCCACTTTGTTTCTGGGCTTTGTTTCTCACTTTTCATAATGGAGGTCAGTTTTCACCTCCTGTGGATCGCTTCCAGAAAGGTGAAGTGTCATGTTAGAAAACAAGGACTAGATAGCATGCCTTGGGCCTTCCTTTGGAGTCACAGAATAGTACCTTGCACCCTACCTTTCTCAAAAGGTTTTCCTAATTTCCTTTTTAATGTGTTTGATTTCCAAGCTCCATGACACGTATCTTACCTTTTACTTGTAAGTACAAGTATTGATTCACAGTTAGCTTTCAAAGTATTTAAGCTTTGCCCTCAAATACATCTCTTTTGAGGTCTAAATAACTCCTCAAACCACCTTCACCCTACGTGACAGATTTGAGATGTGTACCTGAGCAGTTCCTCAGTGTCCTCCTCAGGACCTGTGTTCAGCACATACTCCCTGTTCTTACAGGCAGCTGGCAGCAGTAGTGAGTCACCCAGTCTTACCATCCCACCAAGGTCTGGATCTTCAAATAATTTCAGATCTAGAAAGGGGAACCAGAAATTGCCACGGTTAAATCATGCTACATAACACAATACCTGCATTAACACTAGCTAGTAAATCTGGCTACTGGGCTGAAAAACAGATCATGTAGACAATCCTTTTTTTTTTTTTTACAAGGATTTCCAATCCACAAAGTGCAGTGATACTCTGCACTCTCAGGACTTGGTAAATCTGCTTTCTTCTTGTGCTTACAAGTAGGTCACATTACTCTTGTTAGTGTGGCATGAGCGATAGTGGAACAGCCAGCTCTGCAGATTTATAATATCCAAGCCCAAAATGTCAACAGTGAACAGCTATGGGAACTATAGGTCTTTCTGAATGCTTCTACATTCTGCCCCAGCTGAAGATTTGCCTTAACATTCCCAAGTCATTATTTAGCCTGTATACACTGTATCACTACATTTTCAAAGCTCAGTTATGTACATGCTTTAGATAAAACAATCTGTGTATATACAAATATAGAACAGATTTACTGTCTTTCATCTTCTTCCTGGGACCAATTGATGAGAAATCTTTTTCTGGGCCGAAGAGTCCTTCATCTGGATCTACTTCCTCTTCAAAAATGGTTAATTTGGGTTTCTCTTCCTTGGTTGGAGGAGCAGATGCCTTCTTTGTTTTTTTAGTTCTAAAAACATAAGAGACAGGAAAGTCAGCTGCAATTCTTCATTTAACAAGAAAGATTTATGGCTAGACAGTCTCATAAGCTGAAAATAGATGGAGGCTGGGAAAGGACTAAAGAAAGGTAAATTGGCATCTTACAGTTGCTGACAGAAACGGGATATTGAGCTGGAGGGCCTGTTGGTCTGACATACTCTACCTGTGCTCATGTGTTGTATCCTTAAGAATTATCAAGGAACCCAATGAGAACTGGAAGAGCAGGGCTAACAATGCCGCATTGTGCAAACTACCACCTGATCCAATTTGTTTTAAGCAGTTTTACTCCTCCCATGCATAAAGCTTAAAATAATAAAGAAGAGCAGTTCCAGCAATACTGTCATAGACAGAAAGAAAAGAGGTGGCTTGAAAAACAAAGTGCAGGTTGGACCACTGCACTGATCCCTTTGGACAGGTCTTTAAAAATCTCTTTAGCTCCATTTCCATGCCAGCGCCTGCTGCTGGTTTTGACTGCTGCATACTCCTTTCATAAAGGTGTTAGACACCCCTCTCATCCTCCCCAGAGGAGACATGATATGAAGACTACAGCACCTTGGCGTTGAAGCAAGCAGGGACTGGAATATACTTGGTTGGACAGACTATTTGCAGAATTTACAAATGTCACTCAGCACTTTCTAGAACCAAGGACTGGATTAACTTCCCCTAAATTTAGTCTTCTAAAAATTTGACAGTGAGACAAAGTTAATTTTTAGGCTTCTTCTCAACTTAGTGGAAAGAGACAGACATCTCTATAGGACAATTAATCCCATCTATTTTGAACACTGACATTTGGATGCAATAAATCTCTGAAGATGTCCTCCTCTCCCCCTGGCTGGAGAAGGAAGTTAAAAACTCGTTCGGATTAGAGGACTCATTTGCACATGGCTTAAACAAGGAGAGCTGAATCCCGTTCCGAGAATAAAGTGAAAAGCGTGTGCCTCATGATCTCATACCTAGGAGTCACGTTCCACTAGCTGAAGCTACAAGGCAGCTTCACAGCAGGGCAGCTTGAGTTATGAGGCAAACCAGATGGCATAAAAAGGAAAATTTAGAGAACAGGACAAAAATCTTCGGATGAAAAGTCCAATGCAAACTAAAATGAAAAAGAAGCATTCCTTAGGACAGCATGCCCTTCCTAAGAAATTGACATATTTCAGAGATCTTTACTCTTAGCAGTCACGGCCTTGCGATTTCTAAGGTAGCCCTTTTGAGTGCCTCTTACAATAGAAGATCTGATCTTCTCCTTTGCAGAGAGCAGGTCAGGTTTCAGCCTAGAGCAAACCCAATTATCAGCACTTAACATGCCGTAGTCATCAAAAACTAAGAACAAGGTCAAAAGATTACACATACATTCCAAAGAATGTATCTACATTAAAGAATCTTGTAAAATCCTCTTCCG